GCATTGGTTGGTTTTTGGTCTCTTGTGTTGGTTGGTTTTTGGTCTCTGAATTGGTTAGGTTTTGGTCTCTGCTTGGTTGGTATTTGGTCTCTTGTGTTGGTTAGTTTTTGGTCTCTGTATTGGTTAGTTTTTGGTCTCTGCATTGGTTGGTTTTTTGTCTCTGCATTGGTTGGTTTTTGGTCTCTTGTGTTGGTTGGTTTTTGATCTCTGCGTTGGATAGTTTTTGGTCCCTGTATTGGTTGTTATGGTTGGTTTTTGGTCTCTGTGTTGGTTGGGTTTTGATCTCTGAGTTGGATAGTTTACGGTCTCTGTATTGGTTGGTTTTTGGTCTTTGTATTGGTTGGTTTTTGGTCTCTGCATTGGTTGGTTTTTGGTCTCTTTTGTTGTTGTTTTTTGTCTCTGTGTTGGCTGGTTTTTGGTTTCTGTATTGGTTGGCTTTTGGTCTCTATATTGGTTGGTTTTTGGTCTCTGTATTGGTTGGTTTTTGGTCTCTGCATTGGTTGGTTTTTGGTCTCTGCATTGGTTGGTTTTTGGTCTCAGTATTGGTTGGTTTTTGGTCTCGGTATTGATTGGTTTTTGGTCTCTGCATTGGTTGGATTTTGGTCTCTGCATTGGTTGGTTTTTGGTCTCTGCATTGGTTGGTTTTTGGTCTCTTGTGTTGGTTGGTTTTTGGTCTCTGTATGGGTTGGTTTTTGGTCTCTGTGTTGGTTGGTTTTTGGTCTCAGCATTGGTTGTTTTTTGGTCTCTTGTGTTGGTTAGATTTGGTGCTCTGTATTGGTTAGATTTTGGTCTCTGCAGTGCTTGGTTTTTGGTCTCTGCATTGGTTGGTTTTTTTGTCTCTATATTGGTTGGTTTTTGGTCTCTGCATTGGTTGGTTTTTGGTCTGTGCATTGGTTGGTTTTGGTCTCTGCATTGGTTGGTTTTTTGGTCTCTGCATTGGTTGGTTTTTGGTCTCTTGTGTTGGTTGGTTTTTGGTCTCTGCATTGGTTGGTTTTTGGTCTCTTGTGTTGGTTGGTTTTTGATCTCTGAGTTGGATAGTTTATGGTCTCTGTATTGGTTGGTTTTTGGTCTTTTTATTGGTTGGTTTTTGGTCTCTGCATTGGTTGGTTTTTGGTCTGTTCATTGGGTGGTTTTTGGTCTCTTGTGTTGTTTGGTTTTTGGTCTCTGTGTTGGTTGGTTTTTGGTCTCTGTGTTGGTTGGTTTTTGGTCTCTGTGTTGGT